TCTTATGCTTTGAATAAACGTGCATTAGTAATATTTTGCTCGATGCGCCCTCTTGTGGCCTCAGAAGAGAAGCCAAAAGCTGTTCTTTACCCTAACTGAAATTATGCATTTTAAATTCGAATATAGTTCAAATTTAGTTTTTCAGCCATTTTGACAGCCCTACTACTACCCTGATGAGGTTAACTGAGACCAACTGCGCAGCCTAAACCAAAACTCTTGCTCTAAAAACACGCACACACAATCTCTGTCACCTGAGTCAGTCCTGCGCTAACGGACGGTTCCCAAGCGGTCTTTCTCTCAAATAAATAAACACAAAACACACAATGTCTGTCTCTGTAGCACTAACTCATCCAGACAGCAGAGCCTCGGGGAGCAGACGAGACTTCAGCTGTCATTTCTCACCAGCTTTCTTCCTAAACAGCGTGATGGAGATGAGCTGATATTATGTGTGGAAAAGAGCAGGGAATGTTTCCTTGCTGCTCTGGCGAAAAAATCATTTTCAGAATAACAGCTCATAAATTCAGTATGTTTATTAACATACATTATCTGTATCTATTTCCTGCCATTTTTCATATACTGAATTGAGGTTATCATCTTGAATGATGTTGAGGTGATCTTCATACAGTGTTATTGTCATTAATTTTAATTTTTACTAATTAGTTTATTTAGTTTTAAATATTTTAGTACTTCAACTGAAACGAAAATGAAAAATTAGCTGAAATAGGTTTTTTTGTGTATTTTTTTTTCACGTAACAAAAACTTTTTTTTAATGGTTTTAGTTTTAGTTAACGATAACAACCCTGATGAAAACTATACATGTAATTCTATTGGTTAAAGTTAGAGATGCACTGACATTTAAATTCTGGTCGCAAATAACTACTGGATAATTATTTGCATGTTATAGACAATAAAGAGTTCATATTAAAAATGTTTTCCTTTTAAAAAACATTAAAAACTAAAAATAATAGTTTTATGCTACATCAGCATTTAAAAGTACAAATGGAGGGTATTTTTATTAAGCACATAAATATGTAAATGTATTTGCAGAATATTTGGCACAAAATAATTCATATGTTCTCGATACTGAACCTCACGGACCACATCTTTGATGCTTTATCTGAAATTAAAGTTATTTACTTGTTTACATTACATGTGGATAAATGACCAACTTTATTTTTTTTAAATATCACTCTCCTCCCACCATGATTCTGGAAAAAAAAATTAGACAACTAAACAAAATAACATGTAAGGCCTAATTTACTAGAGGTTCTAGCAAAAATTGCTGCAGTCTATTTATAACATATATTCAATATTCAACGAAATGTTAAAGAAATAAGTTGAACAAATGATTCAATGACTCGCTCATAACGACTTCACTTGTTTCATTCCTGAATGAATTAACGTCTTTTTAATTAATCTCTTTTTAAGTCACTTGTGTTGTAATTGATACTACAATCTTTATTAGAAGCGTCGTCACTTTATTCTATTTTGATCGCTACTGTAGACAATAGTGTTTATATCTTGTATTCCAGTACTTCTGTGATCATTTTAAGGGTTGCAACAGAAATAATAACGATACAAAAGACTTTGTGAACATAGATAAACTCTATGTAAATTCTATATAAATTCTTGTTCGACAGATAAATTCCAAAAAACAAAAAAAAAGAAAGAAAAAATAAAATCGTCCCCAAAAATTCAATATGATAAACTGATTTATTGTTTTCAGTTTGACATTGTTCTGGCTGGCAGCCTAAAATACATAATAAATGAGCCCGGTCTCATGAAAATGCGTATAATAATACGCCAAATAAAAATGAAAACTCGTGGTATTGATACGCAAAAATGGACTTTGGCGTGCATATGATACGCATGTGTTTGGCGTGCATATAATACGCAGTTTTCACGTGCATATGATACGAAATTTGTTGGCGTGCATATGATACGCATCTACCCCACAACCCTAAACCTACCCATCGCGTAGCATATGCACGCCAAAGTCCATTTTTGCGTATCAATACCACGAGTTTTCGTATTTGGCGTACTATTTACACGCACGTTCATGAGATCGGGTTGAATAAATACGCACGTTTTGGCATTTGTTCCACACAGCCACACACACAAAAACTATTTTCAAAACAGTGCCAATATGGTTTTCACTGTGATAACATGCCCCGCTTTCAGGTCAACGAACCGAATTCCTGTCAGGAAACGTTAAATAGCATTGTTGTAGTCAAGACTTTAATTTCTCGATAAAGAAAACTGAATTTAGAAATACACCCTTAATGTTGTACGTTAGTTGAGTTCGGTTGTAATTTTAAACCGATGACTCACGTCTCTGAAGCGGTTCCAGTGTTTGACGGTGCGGCTGTAGCGGTGGACCGTTGAGAGCCACTGCTGCTCGTCTTCCAGGAAATTCCCGCCACCGATCTCCCGCGCTTCTCTCGCGCTCAGCGTCACGAGCAGCAGCTGAAGAACGGATAAACCTCGCATCATGAGCCGCTTCTCACGAATAAACACCGGAGAACCGAGGCGACGGTCTGATGTCTGCTCAGGAGACGCGCAACGACCGGACTGAAGAGAGAGAGAGAGAGAGAGAGAGAGAG